TTGTTACTCTTTGGCAGGAAGTAACCTTGCAGGCACTAGTTTGAAACTTCACAAAGTGCTTTACATCTGCCTATAAATTGCAGCTCAGGAGGAGGTGCCTATGTGGCAGTCAGGAGGAGTGGTACAGTAAGTCGTTCCTCCATTTCCCAGAGGCCTTTACACTTAAAGATCATCTCAGTCCAACCCCGTTTCCACCGTTGTGAGAGGACGGCTGATAAAAGCGCTGCAGGACTACATTTGTACCTGAACAAGCACCTCCATCTGCCGCCTTACATGTGTTTGGTGTTGTTTTGTCTCTTAGCAGTTGAGCCTCGCCTAGACGACTTAAGCCCTGCTAGCCTTTAATAATCTTATTCCCAAGAAGTACCATCTAGGTCAGGGGCTTCTATCTTCACCCTGCTCACAGACCACAGACAGGGTCCAGCACGGTGAAAATAAAATGAAAGATCAAAGGAACAGCTAACCCTGTGATAACCCATAGAGGTTTTGTCCTCTTACCTGTAGTTTATCATTTTTAAATGAAGACTGTCTTGGTGTTAGTAGCTGGGGTTGGAGGTATTGGCTGTGGAGCTCTTGAATTTAATGGAACTAGACTTGGCTTATGCTCAAAAACATTTGGAAAACTCCTACTTCATTGCCTGGTTACTCAAGATAATCCAAAGACATGTGAAGGAACTATTTTCTTTCTACCAAACGACACCCGGATGAGCTTCTCTTTTACTCTCAGATCCCCTTTTGCGCAGTGATACGGTTGTCAAGTAGTTCCATAGTAAGGAAATCCTTTTTACAAGGAAAAACTCACAAAGAAAGATACATGGCTGTTACGTTTTTTAATATTTCATAAAATCTGAGTGCTATCTAGCTCCATTATATTTTATGAAGGCAGATATCTCTTTGGTAGATATCTATGAATAGGATTACAGGTAAGAGGAAACAAATATATTTGAGTTCTTGAGGTTCACTCTCAATAATAATAACATCTCTCTTGGAGGGCTGGAACTAATTGACAAGAAGCAGGCCTCCCTTAGTTACTGTTGCTATTCCAGCATGGCACTAAAGCAGTGTACTGTGACACCAGTGGCAGATTTACTACCCGAAATGTTTAGACCTCTAATTATCACTTTCACTCCACTTCAAATCCGGTTCCCAGTAGCATGTGGCATTATGGGATGTGTTTTTGTTTGTATATTGCTCTCGGGTAACAAGGGCTTCAGCTACTGAATGTGTCAGCTGATGATTCAGTGCAAGGCTGCGATCAGACCCTGTTTAGTCACCGTGTGTTTCTGACTGCAGACGGAAACTCTGTAGCCGTTATTTACAAAACATTTGAGCGTTGCCTTCTGTCTGAGCTGTTGTTCAGCTTCATCCTTGACGTCGTCTTTAGTGACATTGTTTTGGGAATGTCATATCTAATCAGCATAATGTGTACATGTCAGTGTTTCATCTTGCAGCATCCACTTTTTGTACACGCTCTCAAAATAGTAACAAGGTCGGAAACCTTGGGTCGATTTCTGGAGCTTTAGGTGGACATCAGCCAAAAGGGGAAATAGTTGCTGACATGTTTGCTTTTCAAAAGAGATTCAGCACATTATAGACAAGATGAGAGCTAAGGATTGTTAGGCTTTTGTTTTTGCTGGCCAATTAGAGAGGATACCTGTGTGGAAGTCATTGTTTATCGTGTGAATTAGACAATGTGATATACCAGGAAAAAGAGCCATTATGTGTTTGTCATTATCAAGCTCTCTTCCCAATGTTTGCCAATAGAGCCATTTTTAAAAGCATGCAGCCATATTTAACTTTTCATTTGTCATTTGTACCTTTCAACATTTAGATCACTCAAATAAACAATCCTTTAACATGGGACTGATTTCTATATCGGACATAGATAAGACTTTTTACAGCCTATCAATCTGACAGGTTTTTACAGCTTTACAGCAATTATGTATGATCATTATTTGTACGTTTCCAAACCTCATTGCTTTTGAATGACAGCTGAATGATGAAGCTCCGTTCTCAGAACTTCAACGCACCACCAAGAAGGATTCACAAATTACCTTTCGCATAAATGTCAGTAATTTAAGTTGTAAGATCAAGGCTGTTATGGTCCTTTTTTAAATATGGAATTTCATTTTAATATTATACTCAATAACATGTTTTTGCACACTTACATTTAGATCACATCATGGTGATTTTTAATGGTTTCCTTTGAATAATACATGTTTATCTGTTGTTTCAACAACAGAGAATGATTTGATGACAAAGATATTCTTCCTTACATGGGTGCAATACATCCTCGAGTCTTGAGTCAGTGTAAACCAGGGCTTACAATAAATGCAGCGTAGAAAGCAGAGCTGTGTAAACATGCCCGTGGCACAAGGTTTCTATCTATGACTTAACACCTTTTTGATCCAATATTGAACTTTCTGTGCTGTGTGTGCTTCTGTATGCACCTCGAAGCCTTAAGCCTTCTCAGCCTCCATCCTTTCTCCTCTCTTTACTCTTTAGTATTCATTTGTCTATCCCTCCTTACTTTCCAACTTAACTTCTGTTTTCATCTTCTGCTTCAGCCCATTCCCCCTCCTCTCCCTCTCCCTCTCCCATCAATCTATCTCTCCATCTTTCCCGTTTGAGACCACTCATTTAGTCTGTCTGCTGGCTCTCCTGCAGGACAGCAAGGGAAATGATTGAAAGAGATTACCATGATTACATTTTTGCTTTGTCTGTTTGAAGTTACATTTAGAAATGGACTCTTTGGTGACTTCTGTCTTTGCAAAGACTCAGCACTGCCTGGCGATTTAAAACAGTTAATCATTTACACGACTAAAACTGAGCCCACTGACTTCATTGACACCTTTTACCAACCGACCAACATGTTTGTAATGTCTTTGTAACAATCGGCTAATTGCTAAATCGTCTGCTAATTCTCATGAAGATGCGTTAATGTTTCTGGGATTAATCTGTATGTTAAAATACTTGAGAGAGTTTCCTTTTCAAGCCGTTTCAAATCAAAGCTACAGGAACAAAAAGTGTAAGGAATGGAATAAACTGCGTTTAAATTTGCTCTAGCATAAGATGAAAATGTTCATTCCTGGCTAGATTAATTAGACTATGGCCTACCACATGTACTGTAGTCTAGTAGTAGTAGAAGTACTATTAATAGTAGTAGCAGTAGAGGTAGTAGTGTTACTCTGAAAGACAAGGGGAGTAGGCCTACTTGTGGCTCACTATATTATCATGTCTTTGTTTTTGTTTTTTTCTGCCTTTTTGTATTGTTAGCAACAATGCAAGGGTTGTGGTCAAACATATACATTACATTTCCATTTAAAATAATCTAGCCTTCTGTAATACAAATGTTCACAAGCGTTACACTGAAATACACAAACAATGCTTCCTTAATTCATCCTTAGATAATCAGTTGGTGAGTATATTCTACTCTCTTCTGGAACTGTAAGATAACTGATGTAGTCATATATATGTATGAGTCATTATGTGTGTATTTAATACACCATTAAAGGGTTTTAAAAACATATGGGCATGAAACCAACTTACTGGTCTTAGCGTTAGCATTCGCGCACGCAAACTAGCTAACTTCATCTGTTAGTGTGTTAATGCTACTACCTATATTGGTGTCATTCCAACCAACAACAGACACTATTGTCTGCTTAACTATTATCCTGCTTTAGTTGTCTTGAACTGTATTTTGTTGTACAATAACAGCCAGTCTAAATACAATAAAACATTTCATATTCAAGGCTGCCATGCTTTTGAATCTTGATTGTAATTCTTCAAGTGGCTTAACTGAGACCTTCAAATGTGTTTTCTTCAGTGAATATGTAAATAAATGAATGTTTGAGATGGACTAGCACAGCAAGCATTATCTGTGCAAATGCCAAACAGAAGGGGAGAGAGAGAAAAGGAAGGAGGGGAGGGCGAAGGATGACTGTTTTTCTCTGAGCACAATGCCTCGTAGATAGAAACAACACAATAGTCTCCATTCACATCCACACCAACAACATCATGACATTTTGTTCCTATGACTGGACATGGTGCATCCGCCACAACATCCAATACCACGATGGGACTTAAAAGCAGCCTCTTGGGGGTGGAGTAGAAGAACATGTCATGGCTACACACTATCTAAATCACTATCAAACCTGACATAAAAAAAACAATCCTAATGTGGCACTCTTTTTTTTCTTCACTTCAGTTCATCCGTGTTTCTGATGTTTATGTTCCATAAACAAAGACAAATGTTTGCACCTTGTTTATATCCTGCATTATTAGAAGGCTAAACTGTATATGGCACTGAACAGCAAAGTATATAACAGCACAGCAAAAGATAATCAGTTTAAAACTGGTTATAACAGCCTGTCAGTCGGACTTATGTGGGAGACCTCATCTGTGCACCTCAGAAGGATAGGAAGCTAAATCGATTACTTCCAACTTTTTGATAACCAGGATGATTATCAGTTCAGTTATCCTTATGTTTTCTTGCTTTACAATGTGATGTCTTTCTTTTATGTTAGAAAGTCTGTAAATATGAGCATTAGATTGAAAGGCTGGGGAGACGTTTAAATATCCTGAGCCATATTTAGACAACTATATACTAATATACAAAGTATTCTTTACTTTTAAACAAAATGAACACTTTCATCTAGCTATTTCAGGTTTGTTTGTTGAGGCAGGTTTTAAATATCAAATTATCATTGTGTGTGTGTGTGTGTGACAATATATATAATGCATGCCTTGTAAAAGTGTAAAAAGGCACATTTGATAGTGCTGTGATGCAAACTAAATGAATAACACACTCATCCTGAAGTAGTGTCACACCTTCCATATAGAGTTAGATTTAAATGAATGATTTCAAAGTGCTAAAGGCAAAATCTTGTACAAATGACAACATTGCAGGCAAGGCCATGGGTTTCATCTATGTATTTATTTCATTACGGACAATACTTTAGTCAGAATTGTAATCTACAGCTATCTTCTGTATGTTCCAGGTTTGCCAGGGTTTTCCAGCATGTTTGGGAAGAAGAAGAAACGGCTGGAGATCTCAGCTCCGTCTAACTTTGAGCACCGGGTCCACACGGGCTTCGACCCGCGGGAACAGAAGTTCACCGGTCTGCCGCAGCAATGGCAGAGCCTCCTGGCAGACACTGCAAACCGCCCTAAGCCCATGGTGGACCCCTCCTACATCACCCCCATCCAGCTGGCTCCCATGAAGGTAGAGTGTGAAAGGACAGAGGGCATCAAGCCTGAGCACTGTCCTTAGCGTTTCCTGTCTACTAGCTTACTTCCCTCCTTTTCGTTTTACACCCCTCTCGCCCACACCCCTGTGCTCTCTGTTTTTATGAAATGTACCACTGTTCTTTTCTGTCTTTGCTACTCCCTTTGTATAGCTATGTTTCACATCAATGTCGCTGTTTCTCACCCCTCCATCCTCCACCTGATACACTCAGTTGTGTTTCCTCTGAGGCAGAATAGATTATTCTCCAGTGCCATCTGGCCACTTTATGCAGTATATAAACAGTTATGCTTTAAACCTGCATTAAGCCATTTTGTGATTTTAAATTCACAGTTCACCCCAAAATAATAAAAATGACTATAATATTTTCCCCTCACCTGTATTTATCAGTCTAAATTGTTCAGCGTAGTTTGTGAGTTTTGGAGGTCATTGTTGTACGAAAACGGTGGGGGCTCACGTGACTGATTTGCATTAATTCTGTAAATCTTTTATCCTAAAAAGCACTTTTTGTTTAGGCTTAAAAGTAAAACAAGTAGGAGCAAATGTTAAACTGAATATCCACATTCTATTATCCCACTGAATGGGTTTAGCGGTTTTCTATGTTGTCACTACCTTACTATTCTAACTATCAACACAAAGACAAAAAGATGTGCATGTCATAAATACCTGCATATTTTTTAAATCATTAGAGATGAAACAATAGGCCAGAGAACATGACCTAGATTTTTTTCGAGGGACTTATGACGTTCTCCATTCTCCAGGTAGACAGAAACATGAATTCAATATAATTATCATATCATATTTTCTTTTGTTTGCTGTATACAACATGTTTACAACCACATTAGCCTTACACATTAGATATACCCATACACGTCCTGCCCCCTGCTGGGCATCCGTTGCATAATGCAGCTTTAAAGACAATAACTCATTGGACTTTTCCATTACACAATGTCACAGTCTCAGAAACCCTAATGCAGACTGATGTTTATTTCCACTTGGCTGTGTGATGTCTTCCCCTGACCTCCCCCCCCCCCCCCTACACACTGTGACCGTGCTTGCGTGTCTCCCCTTGTCTCTGAACCTTCTGAGTGTCTCCTCTGATGTGTTGTTGTTCATTGGTTCTTCTTAACATATCACATCGACACATTTGACCCACTGAAAAAAGGGGCTTTTTCTAATGACATTCATTTACACACCAAAGTGTTTGATATAAATGCTCCTAAGGTTCTCTACAACTCTCACTGGGTTGCAGCAGAACATATGAAGCCCTTCTCTTGCATATGAGGTTGTTTTATGCCTCATGGGTCTTCACACTGCTCAAATTGTGGTGTTTTATATCCTCCATTGTGCTGTCTGTGGTCCCATCATACTGCATGTGTGACCCACTGCTTTCAAATCTGCAAACCTTTTCGGGGTGTATTACAACACCTGCTACACCTTTTTTGTTTCACTTAGCTCCCACTTTTACACACAATGTTAAACTAATTTCTATGTTGAAAGTTGACACAAAGCACTGCAGAACTTGCTTGCATTTTACTAAATATAATGACTAAAAGCACCATTGCGAGCATATTAATCATCACTTATTAATAAATCTCTGAGGAACCACTTACAGGTGCTGCTGACAGGAAAACACATGATCAGACATCCATATAAGTCCTGTAAGAGCGAACAGCAATATGCCACAGGAGATATCTCTGAAGAGGGGGAAACAAGAAAATAATTCTCTTGCTCTCTTCACAGATATCTCCCAAGAATGTCCGGTCATCCGAAACGCCGTTGCCCAAAGTATGACTTCCTCTTCCCTTCTGTTTTAAACCCCCCTCCCTGTTTTTAATTTTTTTGGTCGCTCTCACACAGTCTCCACTGTTTTGTTTCCACATCTCTCCTCCGCTGCCTGCTGCCATGCATTCAGGTGGAGGTGGTGTGTCAGCAGGAGCAGGAGAATGACTCCACACATGACATAACTACATCGCTCTGCCAGTCTTTTCTTAGGCCTCATCGCTCCACTCCCTGTGTTCCATGTGCATGAGCCTCCCACAAATGACTAGATCAACTGTAACGGCATGTTCCTTTGTTTCTCCCCTTGACATAGAGCGCCATTAATAATGATGATGATGATAATCATGATGATGATGATTCGTGCTGAGATGTGAAGTGCATGTTGCCATGACAGCTGATTCTGCTACGCTGTAGGCCATCAGTCTTTAGGAAGTAGGTCAAAAAGGGTTTGCATGTGTTAGGAGAACCCTTTCTACAATCCACCCGTTGGAGCCAAACCTCCTCTCCTCTTCCCTCCTTTTCTCTCCTTTTCTCTTCCCTTGTGTCCTCTCCTTTCTTCCTCTCCTCCCTTCCTCTATTTTCCTGTTTCTCTTCTCCTCTCCTTTCCTTTCTATACTCATCAATCAGATAAATGAAACATGATGTAGTCTCTAAAAACATGACTTGGTAAGAATGATTTAAAAGCTTTACATTTGTTCTGATAAAAAAGAGCATTTACCAATTTCAGATATACAGTACGTCTGCATTGGAATCTTTGTAGGTGGAAAACATGATTTCATAATTGCCAAATCATTGACTACGCACAAAACAGGTCACTTAAGTCATGTTTTGAGAGTGCATGGTCTTTCTTGCAATCTTGCAGTTTCTGAGTACTTGAGAAAGTTACAAGGTGCTTGCCAACAGTTTTTAATCAACAGTTTTTAATCAACAGTTCTAAACGGGACATGCCAATATCTGTTTTATGTTTTTATAGCTCAATATAAAAAGAACTAATAGCTGAGGAGGTGGATGATAAAATGGTTTTCATGCTGTTCAACCAAGGTCATCATTACTCCAGAACCACATTTCAGGAGTTAATAGTATTAAACTGGGTATTTTGAAGGGGGGGGGGGAGGGGGAAGAATGAAACCAGGAAACAGAAGTAGGTATACGCTTTAAAACTCAGTGATAATCTTTAAAACACAAGAAAAACCAACAGTTGTGCTAAAAAACCCGACAGACATGAGATCTCCAGACCGGATTGAAATCACTGATCAGCACATTTACATTAGAAATGACCCAGCCTCCCCCATAGGAAAGAAAGAGGTCCCATCTGAATGGAGCTTGAAGTCTGTGAGAATAATGAAAAGGCTGATCACAGACCACTGTAGAAACAAGTTTGATGTTACTTAGACGTCAGGGTCACACCACTCTCACTGGTGTGCATTTGTGTGTGCGTGTGTATGTCACTCTGACTTCCAAGGTGGGCCCGGGTATTTATAGTCTCACCCATGACCTGATATCCTTCTCCTCTGGTTGCCCTGACACTTGATTGACACCTGGTTTCCTCTGTTTGGCAGACTCCCCTAGCTCTGTCTAGTGTGTGTGTGTGTGTGTGTGTGTGTGTGTGTGTGTGTGTGTGTGTGTGTGTGTGTGTGTGTGTGTGTGTGTGTGTGTGTGTGTGTGTGTGTGTGTGTGTGTGTGTGTGTGTGTGTGTGTGTGTGTGTGTGTGTGTGTGTGTGTGTGTGTGTGTGTGTGTGTGTGTGTGTGTGTGTGTGTGTGTGTGCTGTCTCCACAGCGCAGAGGGACAGTGAAAAGTTCAACATGGCGTGCACATGCTTCTTTGTCTTTCTGCGTGCGTGAACATATACATATATTATATAGTGCGTGCACGTAGAGCTGTTAGAGGGGTTGACGCGGTCATGATGCCGAAATAAGTACTACCCCTGCCCTGTGGCTTGCACGCTCATCGTTTATTCACAAGGCTCGTAGCCTTGTTGTCCGACTGCTCATCTCAGCTGAGCATTAGTATTGCTTAAAGCCTTGGCTCTCATCTCTTCTCTCCCCTCCTCCTCCTCCCCCCATCAGCCCTCAGCACACATGCTAATCCAGAAGTATAGGCTAACCCTAACAGAGTTTCCATGTTTTAAACATCGTGCTCTTAAAGCTTCTGCAGTCTGACAATTTGAAGTGTGTAGTGGTGCATGAGTAAGCACGTTTTAAATACATTTTTATGTTGCATTCTTGTTTTGATGTTGACTTGGATGGCTCAAGTGTTCATGGGAAAGGGTGTTGATTGACTCAAGGCTGCATGTGTGCTAATGTGTTGCCATCATTAGCAGCAGGGGCAGTGCTGAGGCTATTATTAATGGCAGTCTCATGTTACACCTTGACTTTGACACCCTCAAATTGCCGGCTCCTAGGGAGGTGAGGAGGTAATCCACCATGATGCTGTGTGTTTGTTGTGCGAGTGCTTGGCCCTGCTAATGCAATCTCCCTGTTCCTATTCTCTCCACCATGGGTTAGAATTAGATGAATGAAGAAACAGAATGACCTGTTTGTTGGGGGCACATTCTTCTGTTAGTGGTTGTTTTTTCTTATGCCTCAGTTACACACTTTGCTACCTCAGTTTACAGAATACAGCTTTCATCTGCTTCAGTCATTTGCATTACTTTGCTTCTGTGGGTGGCTTTTGAAAGTGCAGAGAAACGTACAGTGTGTTAAACAAAAGAATAACATTAGTTCGTACAGAGGGAAAGGCAAGGTTGTTTTTATTTATGAAGCACGTTCCATAAACGGAGATGGGAACCAGGTGCTGCTCGGAGGATTAAATAAAACACAATACAAAGTAAAAACAGAGTGCAAAAATAAAAGAGAAAGATCTTTATAGCAATAAAATAAAAATAAATGTGAAAATTAAAGAGTAAGTAAAAAATAAATGATACAGATATAATAATACTAAAAGTCACAAATAAAATAATAAGGCATTTGTTTCTGAATGCATTTAATTCACCACTAGTTAGTACAATAAGGTTTTCAATTTGGATTTGAAATCTGAAATGTTTTCGGCCATACCTCGTAGGCAGGTTAGTTCCAGCACTGACTAACAAATGCTTCTCCTGTTTAGATGTAGCCCTGGGCTCCACTGAAAGGTCTCGTAGGGTTTTTCTGCTCGAGCATGTCAGTCATATATTTACGGCCAACTCCCTGTCGACATTTATAAATAAGTAATAGAACTATAAAATCAATTCTGTGAGTTACTGGCAACCAGTGTGGAGAACATTTTTGATTTTGTTATCATGATTGTGTAGCTATACAAATCTGACAATCAAATCGTGAAAACTAAAGTAGTAGGAAGATGTGCCTGCAGTAAATGTATAACATCATTGGTTATAACTTGATTCTATTAGGTTTATATCTACACAAGGTCAGGGTTATGTCAGACAGTGGCAGTTTTTGACAATTCACTCAACTGAAACATATTGAGTTAAGACTATGGTTAAGACGTAACAAGTAGCTAATTGAGTAATAGCCGACATGCAGCTTAACACATGTATCATGTTTTTGTCAGTGTCCTGCAGAAAGAGTAAAAAAAGCGAAATGACAAATGCTCATTGACTTTTCCCCCCTACTGTAGCATGTTTTATTCCAAAGCAATTTAAATTCTTTGTCTTGATTCTGGGGTTATGAAACAGTCCTAAGGGCATGGACATCAACACCAGTAAGCCAGTTAGAGGGAAAATGGAAGAAACGTATAACAGAAAAAGCCCATTATGATTCGTGAGACAAACTTAAATCTTACTCCTCTTAATTCTACATAGTTGTAGAAGAGAGATGTTCACGCTCAAAGATACCAAGTGCACCTGGAGGATCACAGGATTAATGTATGCGCATCATTCTTTAAAGGTGGATATTTCTCTTTGATACTTAGCTGTCTACTTTAAATATCATGCTTCCCCACCTTCCTGATATCTGAATTCCTCTTCTTATTCGTCATCTATTTGACATAAAATACAGCAGGAGAACTGACTTCTACTTTGCTAAGTAAAATGAACATTCAAGAGCTCTGTATTGCCACCTTACGTAGTTGAATTGTGTGTCGTCTGCCACTTGCAGTGTAGCTTTGTAATAATATCAATTTCCGTCTCAGGCCATGTGGGTGGGAAGTTAATGTGATAGTATTGTAGTTTAATGGTTTGAGCTGATCCACAGGTTTTTTCATAAATGAATCAGATAAGGGCAGTGAGGAACGGAGACATTCAAAGGCAGCTATGCCTGAGACAAACTCAGACATATAAGATTCATATTATGATACAGGATATAGATGAAAGCTGCATATAGATTACATCTTTAGAGTAACATCTTAGACAGTTCTCTGATATCTATTGAAGATCGGGAGAGAGGCATTCAGTTAAATAAATAAATCCATCTTTGTTAAGTGTTGCTGCTGCACGAGGGGGCCATGTACTTTGGTTAAAGCCAGTGGAAGTGCATATAAATCATAAATGGCACGATGTAATTTACTGTGAAACGGATCAGAATCCTCCCTTGGACTAATTTAGAAACATAAATCGTGATGAGGAGCACGTTTCAGGAGTTATTATGCAATGAAGATGTACTTCCTCCCTCCAGCCTAACTTGTCCTACTCTTCTCTTGTTTGTGATTTCATGCATTTCCCAAAATGACTGCTGACAACCTCCAGAGTACAGTACACACCTACAACTTCTTGCATTCTGCTGTGGGTTATATGTGCTGTACTGTAGGTAATGTAGGTGGAGAGCACGCGCTGATATTTTTATATTATATAATATAATATATATTTATCTCTTTGCTGTCAAACCATTATAGCTGCACTGGAAATATCCCATCCTTACATCACATTGGAAGAAATAATGTAACAAAATGTGCCCTGAAATGTGAGACACACTGCCAGTAGCTGCTATTTAAGAATGCAGATTTAGAGTTGTCTGAAGAACAGTACACAATGGCAGATTTACAATGTTAGTGTTGCGTCTTTGTTGGAACC